TGATGTCATCATAACCTGTGTGTCACTGTACGTATGTGTATGATGTCATCATAACCTGAGCGTCCGGGGTACGTACGTGTATGATGTCATCATAACCTATGTGTCACTGTACGTATGTGTATGATGTCATCATAACCTGAGCGTCCGGGGTACGTACGTGTATGATGTCATCATAACCTATGTGTCACTGTACGTATGTGTATGATGTCATCATAACCTGAGCGTCCGGGGTACGTACGTGTATGATGTCATCATAACCTATGTGTCACTGTACGTATGTGTATGATGTCATCATAACCTGAGCGTCCGGGGTACGTACGTGTATGATGTCATCATAACCTATGTGTCACTGTACGTATGTGTATGATGTCATCATAACCTGTGGGTCACTGTACGTATGTGTATGATGTCATCATAACCTGTGTGTCACTGCACGTATGTGTATGTTGTCATCATAACCTGATCATCCGGGGTACCTACGTGTATGATGTCACCATAACCTGTGTGTCAGCGTACGTACATGTATGATGTTGTGCAGCACACTAAAGGTGATGTCATCGGTTGTCGTGACGTCGCTGTGTATGGAGCGTTTGGAGGGCAGACGCCCACACGGCGTGAGCGTGTAACGTGCCTCCAGCTCCGCGAGCGTGTCAGGCAAATCCAAACACGTATCCGAGTCCATCGAGCTGAAACGTAGCAAAGCGACCCTGCTGAGACTACCTACAATGTTTCTACAGTGCAAAGTAAAACGACGCTTTATGTTAACATCACAAATTCGCCCATTTTTTTACGCAACTTGTAAGTTACGACAACTAAATTCGCAATACAAAACTAAAAAAACTCGTTCTATCTTAGGTAGTTTTCCAATGGTATGAATGGGTGTAATAAAGCAGAAATTATGAGAGCGGAAATTAATATTGAAATGTAGGAATAGGGAGCATAGGCGATAGTGGCACGAGTATTAGAGAAATTAGTTAGAGGGATGACGATTATAGAAGCGTCCAACAACACACTGAATAATTAACATCGCAATGCTTAGAAGATTGGTAATTATGCCAACGGCAGATGAGCGATTAGTTTAGAGGGCACAGAAGGTGTTAGATTGTAGCGAGCATGCAGTAGAGTGGGCTACATAATTAGCCACTGTTACGAAGCAACGCATGCAGAATAAAAGTTACCAGGGACATCTTGGCAGCCAGCCAAGGGCCAAAGGGTTGGGATTAGACACAGTCCAAACTGACGTAAGATAGACCAGGTGGTCACTTGTCATACTAATGTCCGACGACGAACCAATAGGGGAGATGGCCAATGCGGCCGGGGAGGCGAGAAGGGACGCGCCCAGAGGTATAAAAGGGGATGCGGAGAGAGAACGAGGCCGGTTATGACGACAAAGTGCTGTGCGAAATAAAACAACGTTTTCCCTGTGACAATCCTACTGTTCGCTTTATAACCGACTTGAATTTATTCAACGCTACATGGGGTTTGTTATTCAGAAGCATAATAGACTTAATTTATGTCCATAAAATTATCATAATACATATGCAGCCTGCCTCTAACATGTCATGCAGGCCAGCTTTTAAACCTTCCATCAGTTGGTTCTACAATTTCCTGCCTTTAGAGGAAACATCCACACGTTCCATTGCAGATTCACAAAATCTTTATATTTTACAGCTTCTCTTTCATGAAGATCTTTACATGCAATTGCATTTAATATAAGAAAACCACTAATTAATTAATTAACATTAATTGTTCAGCGAGATAATAATTGGTGCATGCCATAGCCTTTTATGAGACAGTGCTTGTAAGGTAGGCATGTGCGCACTGTACTGCACACTGGCGACGCACGTACTAGATCGTACCTGAACTTGTCACGGAGCTTTGCCAGAACTTCTCTAAACATGTGCTCGTTCTCACTTAGTTTCATCTTCCTTGACTTGAACTCAGCTACAAGATCCTGTAGTAGTAAGAACATGTAGTAGTGCAGTACAAGTCCTGGATCAGCATCAGCATCAGCACTAGCAACAGCAGCAGCAGCTGCATCAGCACCAACATCAGCAGCAGCAGCAGCTCCACCACTACCACCACCACCACCAGCAGCAGCATCAGCAGCAGCAGTAGCAGCAGCACCAAGAACAGCACCAGCAGCAGCAGCACCAGCAGCATTATCATCAGCAGCAGCAGTAATAACATCTTCACATCATCCTAACCATTACATGAATTTAAACCAGCACCACAAGCAGCGTGCGCGGCGTGTATTAACGTCTAGCACTAATACCTTGTCCTGCAGTGCCTCTCCTAGGTACACAGCCAGGTTGAGCACCGTCTGAGGGTTCTTGATCACGTAGTTGACCCTGCGCTGGCACGCACGTGACGTCTTACTGTGCGACACCTGCACACCGACACACGCAAACAAACGACATGTAAGCTCATCGAATCACACACCTCACGACAGAAACGACATCGCTGCCATAGCCACTTTAAATGGCATGAGTTGTTAGGCAATTAAAACAGTGCTCGACTGAGCTTTAACGAGGTATTGAGGTTAGTTGGGTGTGACATTACACTGAACCTAACAGCAGTAGCATCAGCTAGGATTCTTAAATATTCCCTCTCCCCTCTCTCCCCGGCCAGATAAACGACGGGTCGTTGACGATGTCGACCTGTACAACGCACACACCTGTAGATTCTCATGCATCACGTCTCTGACCACCGTCCACGGCACGATGATGCCTCGGCTGTTATTGTCCAGGAAGCAGGAGGCAACGTAACACAGTAGCAGCTGGAGAGAGACGGAGAGACAAGGCAGACTGTTGATAATAGCAGATGCTCGTCATTGCAAATTGTTCTCGTACGCAATCAACACAAAA